TCTGTAATAATGAGATTCTTTGCAGTTTGTCTTGGATAATGTAGCCGCTTAAAATTAATCAATTGTCAGTATTTTAAAGGTATATTATTTAAATGATAGAAGTCTGCATGATTTTGAAGAACGAATGATTATTAGCAAATTATTGAGAGGGCTGCAGCACCCCCACCAGTCCCACTCCGTTGCTACGGCGCTGAGAAGTAATGAACCGAATAACACCGATTTACGATTTATTAAATGTTATCCCATAATGATGATTTCGTAAATCAGTTTATACTGAGAATACTATTAATAATTATATTATATTTTCTCTGTTTAACAACTAAAATTTTGTTATACTATTATTGCCGTAATTTCCGAATGACCAAACTGATTTTCCGAATATGTTAATTCTAAAAAAGTTGGGGGTTAACCACCCGCCCCAATAGCCCCACTCGCTACGGCCCTGGCACCCAGTCATGCGGTTTACCATTAAATCTAGTTATGCTAAGCTTAGGCAATCTCGCGGTTTTCCCAGCAATTTTCTTCTCTTTCAGTGCGGCCTCTAACTTTTGCTCTAATAATTGTTTTTCAAATTGCATTGTCTGTTCCTGTGAATGCTTCAATTCAACCTCTTTTGCCCTTTGATCTATGGTCTTCACGAAATCGGCAAGTTTCTGCGTACTACACTTGTCAGTCAGTGCAATTTGATTTTCTAACTCTGTAGACCATTGTTCTATTGATTCATCGGATTCGCTCTACGCGAATTTGGCTTCTTCAATCGAACCTTTTAAAATACTAATTGTATTAGAATTGTTGTAATGGACTCACGGACTCAATTGTTGTAATGGACTCGCAGCGTTTCAATCTGAAGTTCAACGCCTTGAGCTTCGCATCCATCTCACTTTGCTGCTTCTTCATGTCCGAAACGTCGAATCACTATCCCGTCGGAGTTGCCAGTAATGTGGGGAACGGCAGGTTCGGTCCCGTCCAGTTCGATCCCACAAGATCACAAATTCACTGACTCACAGTTTAGTCATAAACATAAAATTATATTTCACAAAAGATTTAGCTCTCGCTAACTTGGCTCACAATCACACAAGATAGCAAACATGCACAACAACTTATCTTTTAACCCCCAAAAAAAGATTATATGAGTTCAATTAACTAATGTCGTAGTTCGTATAATATACTGTAGATGAACAGTACATGATAACAACTAGCTTAAGGCAATTTCCTACAATCCTATTATATCAACTTTGTAGTAAATACAAATGGCCAATTATCCATCACACAAACATTAATACCTCGAATCTTAATCAATCAGGTCTACATTTAAACCCTGCGGGAACAAAATTACTAGCTAAGAATTATATTGCTTTTCCAAAAAAACGACTAGATAATTATTTAATAAGTACACGCATATCTATAGATATAAACCCCAGCGCAGTACTGCCGAATAGCCACGCGAATGTCTATCCAAAACTCAAAGGTTTTACTATTTAAGAAATAGAAAACGAGTCGCGCGGTTATGGTATGATAATGCCCGCGGGGAATGTTGGGAGAATATGAGAGAATATTTTATTATATTTTCACCTCTGTGCCTAATTAAAACAATGCATAACAAAAGAAAAAGCAATTAATCACGAACGTATCGTAGCTTAACTAAGATTTATTCCCATTTAATCCCCGAGCCGACGGCGCGAAGCGCCGTGCGAGGGTACTAATTCCCCCCCCCCCC